TGTACGCTACGTAAAGGTGCGTACAACTCGATTAGTTGGCAAACATATACTCTTCAAAAAAAAGAAACGCATAGTAGGAACAATATCCTGAAAAATGTTGAATAATTTTTTCATAATTTCTATTTTAAAAGGATACGATACATTCAAGTAAAATGCATTATTTTTAATCAATTGTTAACTTAACAGCTATTCTACAAATCTCACAGACAAAAAGACCTGACTTTGCAAAATTCCTTAAAAATGTTTGATCTCATTTTTCATTAGCTTGCAATTACATCAGACAAAAAAGGGCTAACAAAAGCGGGGGTTCTCGATATTTTGAATCTGGTTTTATCTGAAAATTGACTTTTTCTAAAAATGCTGCATCTGAATGTTGCATAGCACAAAAGGGAAAATGGGCAACTGGAAGCAGGTATACAGCAGTCTAAAATTGAAAAACTGTTTTAATGTTATGCACAGCACCATATCTAACTTATAAAACATAAATCATTAACCTGGAACACCCAGTATTCGCAAAAAATACGGGAGACCACATGTGACATCAGCAGCACAGCATCACTTCAGAGGATTACGTAAACTTTATGAATGTAACACAATGACGTCATCTACAGCATTAGCTATACCTGAACAGTACAGACCATCTAAAAAGTTTTTTTTAGTTGACTATGAATTATTGCAAAAGGATTATTCATGCCATTGTTCTGACCCCACAACACCCCAAATATCGACTTCAAAGATCTCCGATCAATAGAGTATGACCACAGCATCACCGCTGAAAATTTTGGTTGAGCTATTAGTCCAGAATGTTTATCGGAAAGCGATTTATAAGTTTTAAGAGTGCTTAGGCTTCGTAATGAACATAAGACAGAAAACTGCCTCCAGGACGTTAAAAAAATTGGTAGTGGTAGTGTAATGATATGGAAAATGGTATCACATAAAAGTAAGACTGATATGGTTTGTATTCAAAGGACTTTGATAGAAAAAGGTACTCTTACGATTTTCTACCTGCACATGTCTATTCAATTTTGCGGCATTCTAGAGACGTAGTTCAATCTGACAATACCCAGCAATATACGGCTCGTTTGACACTCCCATACTTGCAAAGCAACAACAACAACCTGTTTCTGCCATAGTCATCTAAAGCGCCAGATTTAACCCCAATTGAGCAGCATTGGACAAAATGGATAGACATGATTTATCAAAGACAATCGCATCCTCAGACTCTGCAACAGCTGTCCAAAGCTTTACATTTGGACTGGGACAGTATTCCTATACAGTTTTTATTTCACACATTTGCTTCCATTAGATGCTGTTTTGGCCTATCATTTGTGTGTCTGTGGGGGGGGGGCATACTAGATATTGATCTTTAATTACCTTAAACTGTCTAGAATTTTAAAACTCTTGAGTAATTATGACATTTAGATAGTATTCCTATTGTAAACCACATTTCTGTCTTATCAATACATCATTTTACTAAAGAACCTCTTTGTTCTATGTGTCACAAAAATTCTACAATGCGTTTCTTTTTTTGAAGAGTATATGTTGGAGTCTGTCCGTGGAGTGCTTTGAATGCATAAACAAGAGTCTTAAATTAGCAACGAAACTCTACCTGTAAACAGTGTAGATTGATAAGAAGAGGAGTCATATGGTCATTTTTCTAATAACTTTAATAATGTTATTATGCGCGCAAGTGTCTTTTGTACACATTGAAGCTTGTCTGTAAGTTGTTTGTTAATCCCAACAAGTATGGCATTTCCGTAATCCAAACGTCCATACCGACGAGCATATTTAAAACTTTATGCTACATGTATGAGTTAATCTGGTGAAATGTATATTTAAAACATCAAACGAATCGAAAATGACACAATTCGTAATAGATTGTAGTATTCTAAATAATATATTAGATTCTGAGAAAGGTATTGTGTGTAGAATTTGCATGGTTTTTCCAACGGGAGTAAACAACAGTGATTTCTATTCAATAAATATACTCTTCTTTGATTTGTATTTTTATTTCATTTTTTCTACATTTCCATTGGGAATGTGACCAGGTTCATATGTTGAAAATGAATGAAATAAACATTGTTCTTACATCCTTCTTTATATTAATATTACTCCATGCACTCTTTTGGCATTGGTATTCATTACTTCCTCTTAATTTTTATTTTGTAAATAAAAAGAATAGTTACTATGCCGTAACAGCGACTGCACAGCCACTGCCGTGACCAGGATTCGAACCTGGGTTGTCGCGGCCACAACGCGAAGTACTAACCACTATACGATCACGGCTATATTAGTAGCTGTTCAGCTTTCTGTCGGTAAAGGGTCGGTGCCTTGTTCCAGACTGATTATCAAAAAGGGAAATATAACTATTGATATATATAGCATTATATTACATACAAGCCATTTCCTGTGCCGTGACGATCTTGACTGTTTTTCTTCAATCAGATTTACAATCTGGAAAATTTATAAATATATATTTCCAAAATTTTACAAACCCTTTCCATTTTTAAAAACTTCAATGGATTTTATTTATTTATTATTAAACATTTACAAAGCGCCCTAGCTATATATAAAATCTCTAAGGCGCTGTTCATGCATTATATGTAAAACAAAATAAAATTTACAGCAGTCATATTCGAAAATTGTAAGATAAGTATTTAAAAATTTAAAAGTGTCAAATATCCATAAAAGTACTAAAAAGATGATAAAAATTTAAAATGCAGCGTCCAAATATATTAAGAGGCTAAGATATGCAATTTAAAGTCATATGCCTTTTTTTTAAAATTGGCATTGTAGAAGAATAAGAATTAAAATATTATGCAGAATTTTTTGAATATAGGTTAAGATAAAAATCTGCTCAAAAGCTCAGGAGCGAACCTCGTTAAGCAACTGGTTTCCCAGTGGCGTGAGAAATTTAAGTAAAATAAAACTTCAGTGGAATTTAGAAGGGTTGTGTCTGTACATATCTGCTGTATAACGTTAAACTGATTACGAAATTTACTTTCTTTGAAGAGAAAGTAAATACCGTATACACTTAAATAAAAATTTTAGCGAAGATTTAATTTTGGCATTATAAGCGAGGCTGTTGAGATCGCTAAAATTGCATATCACTAAAAATGAATTGCGTTTTATTTGTACTAGCTTCTTGAGTGAGCAATTTATATTCGCTAAAATTACTTCTCGCTAAAAATAAAATATCAGTTTTTAAGGAGAAATCGCTAAATTTGCGTCTCGCTAAAATTTCTACTTATAAATTTATACGGTATACCATTAACGTTTTCTACTGAGTCCATGATTTATCAAGAACCCTGGTCAGTGTATAGGAATTCGATCCACAATTTAGCTTATTGGAGAAGGGGAAGTAACTCAAGAAAAATCTTTGTCGTCTCTAAGGACCACGCAAAATAGCAATTTGAAATAATTATTCCCATTCTTATTTTCTTAAATAATATTTTCACATACTTAGAACACAAAAGATGTTTTGCTTGAGTGCTTTGGTCAATAAATGCTTCTTTATGCTCTACAGCATTCTACATGTGCAGACGAAATTTAAAATTGTCGAAAACTGTGTTTTATTCACTAATTGAAACCGAAAGTAGGGGGTCACGCCTAGCTTTGCAGTTTTAGTACTAGTTTTACATCTCGAATGATATGACGTATCACTAGCTGATCCAGATTTAGTGGGTGCATGCATAAAAAACGGAGTGTAGGATATATACTTTTTAAAAGCAGATTTGGGTTTTGGTAATGTATTGTAAATGCTTTTCAATATCAGTTATCAAATTACTAAAATGATGTTACATATACTTTCATGTGAATATATTTCAAATTATGTTAATGTGGATCAGCTCTAGATGCCTAAAATTGCTATGTACATGCACAGGCCTCTGCAAATCTATCATTTAGCCATTATATGCTTGATCATAGTGATATACCGTGTAGCCGGTTATTTTGGCGGGAATATAATTTTTGCCCATTTTAGCAATTTAAAAAAAATCACCAAAATGAAAACCGCTAAAATTATAGTCTACGGTGACGCTTTGCGTTTGTAAACTTCCCCATTTTGGAATGATTGTTAGGTCGATCACCTGTATATAAGCCAACAAACAGTTACAATGTATAAATATAGATTTATCCATTCAGTTAATATAATATAGAATAAACAAAAATATAAACAGAGTAGTTCTATATATTCTAAAACTACTTTTTAATTGGTTTTACCACTGCCCAACCTTTTACTCCATTAATTCGACTTTAATAAAGATTATGTTTGTTTAACAATGGTTTCGAATCATCTGCCATTTTAAAAACACACTCAATTAAGAACAATAAAGTTTATTCAACAATTTGTGTTTTCGCTACATATACTTGTTAATTAGTACATAACTATGTACGAAAATATTTCGCTTGGGACGGTTTGTTACGTAATCACAGACGGCGCATGGAATGCATTGTCAGCAAAATGTCATAACATGTGTAACATGCTTGGGTTGATAAAAAAAAGAAATATTTACGTACATAAGCTAGTAACTTAATATACAATCAAAGAACTGTGAAAATTTTAAAATAGACTTATGGAGATATAAGCAAATTAAGCTTATATGTAAACTGATTTTGCAATGAAAAAAGGTTTGCGTCTTACTTTTATTTAAAATGATACAAATATATTAACTTGTGGAAAAATGACCATTTTAATTACTTGCAGAATAAAAATAAGAGCTACATCTGTATTTGCATTTTTGAAGTGTGTTTATCCATAGTGTCTGCGTTTTCCCTTGGATTTCCCACCAACATTGGGGTTGCATCCGTTACAAAAGCGCGGCATATACATGCGACTTTGCATACGGTATACAATTAGGATTTTAAATTCACCAAAATATTATCCGCTTAAATTAATGGTATACATTGGCAACCTATAATCGCCAAATTTGTGTCCCGCCAAAAAACAGGTTATACGGTATATACCCCCTCTACTCAGTATATATAAATGCACCAGGTATGCAACGACTTTTTTACCCCTCGACGATTCGGAACTGAATTTTTGGGGAGAACGAAAGTGTCTAACCTTTAGTGTGCAGAACTGTGCCCAAAATTGATTTTCCTAATACAAAACTATGACCTTTGATTTTTTAAATTTGTTTTGTACGGAAGCCCGTTGAGGTCAGTTCAGAGAAAGAAATATTTTTATAATATGCGTTTAATCGCAATAATAATTGTGCTTAAACGCAAAAGATTGGGTTTAATCGCAATAAAAATTGCGTTTAAACGCAAAACATTGCGATTAATCGCAATAATTATTGCGTTTGAACGCAAAGTGCTTTGCGTTTAATTGCAAAAGATTGCGTTTCATCGCAATCTTTTGCGTTTAAACACAATAATTTTGCGATTAAACGCAATTAGATTTTCGTGTTTAATCGCTTAATTGCAATAATATTGCGTTCAATTGCAATAATTTTTTTGCATTTAAACGCAATGATTTTTTGCACTTATAAACGCACTCTTTGTATTTTAACGCTATAATCCTTCGTTCTATGGATTTATTTTGCATTTAAACACAATGATATAGTCTTGTAGTTTGAAATCAGACATCAATTAGCAAAAGATTATAATAAATACTATGGTACGCAATGAGTTTTTGCACTTAAACACAGTACTCTTTGTATTTTAACGCAATAATCCATCGTTTTAAGGATTCATTTTGCACTTAAACACAATGATATAGTCTTGTAGTTTGAAATCAGACATCAGTTAGCAAAAGATTATAATAAATTCTATGGTCCGGTTTTTTCAAAGAAGAACCGCTTGGTTCTGTGGCTTTTTGCAAAATGTTGCAGTTTTTGAGAATTGAAGTTTAAGAAAGACATCCTTACAACCAGAGTTTCTAAAACCTATTAGAACCCTACACTAATCAATTGCTTACGTATCACAGCTAATTAAGAATGTTTCAGTGGTATTAATAGACATATCATTTTGAATCTGTTTTCATTTGATTTCATACGATTCCATCTCCTAAGTTCTCGTGTTCTCGTGTTAACTGTATGTGATCAAAAGAAAGGTTGTGAATATACATAATATCCGTAATATGTACATATATATAATCTAAATATTTCATCAGTCGTTTTCTTAACCCCTTTATACCATGGTTTAAACTTTGTGACCGCAACGTGGATGGGGTGATGGTTTTTCGATCATTTTTCTTTTTCAGTCTTTTATTTCAAAAATCATTTAAAATCGTTTGCATAGTTTCAAAGTTTAAAAATAGAAAAAAAACCCAATAAGATATTAATTGTAATGTGTGTTTGTAAGGGAATATAGATATCTATACATGCTAAAGCAATGTTCCGTTCTTAGGTTGTCTTAAGTTTGTTTCTACAGACAGACACTTTTTTCTCCTCTTTAAATCCACACCAATGATTTCACAATTCAGAAAATAATGCTTGTTCAGAAGAATCTGATTCTATAAAGCTAAACAAAACACAATCCTCTCAATAATTTACTGTAGAAAAAAGACAGAAAAAAGTATTACCGGGGTAGTATGTGTGGGTCCATTGCACTCTTCAAAGATCAATAGAAATGGTTGCTTTTGAATACAAACTTTAAGATTATTGGGTTTAAACGCAAAGAGTATTGCGTTTAAATGCAAAAAAATATTGCATTCAATCGCAATATTATTGCGTTTAATCGCAAAAATTATTGAGTTTAATCGCAAAAGTATTGCGTTTAATCGCAATATTATTGCGTTTAAACGCAAAAGATTGTGTCAAAACGCAATTTTTTGCGATTAAACGCAAAGTACTTTGCGTTTAAACGCAATAATTATTGCGATTGATCGCAATGCTTTGCGCTTAAACGCATAAATTATTGCGATTAAACGCAACGTTTTGCGTTTGCGATTTAACGTAATAAATTTTTTTTCCCTCTGAACTGGCCTCAACGGGCTTCCTTAGTTTTTGACTTGTTTTGCTACATGTTATTGCAGTAGAAAAATAATTGCTTTTAATTTGGTGTGATTTATGAAATGCAGAACCGTTGATTACGTGTCGTCAGCGCATGGCGATGATCAGGCCTAGAGAAAAAATTAAGTAAACAAAAATGCAGTTAAGCAACATCGTTAAATCTCTCATGGCAAGCCATGGATTTTGTGTCCATTCTATTTCTTGACAGTAGATTTGTGGAAATAGAATGTACTAGACTCCCCTCTCTTTCTCTACATAACACGAAAACTGCAACAAGTTTCTTTGCATGACTTTAGATGGATGCTCAAAGACCTCTCCACACAGTAACTCCTACCATTCACAGCATTCCATTGTCAAAATGTGCTGGTTTTCCAGTTTATCTCAAACTAGAGAATCTCCAAGTTCCAGGAAGTTTCAAGATCAGGGGAATAGGCAATTTTTGTCAGAAGGTCAGGATTAGTGATTTTACCACATTTACAAGAATTTTTTCAATGATATTATTACTGCAATAAGAAAAGTTTTGTTGAGTCTAAATACGGTATTGTACTGTTCATTTTTTCTTTACAGGCAACACAGAAGGGATGCAAAAGAGTTGTTTGTGCCTCAGGAGGAAATGGTGGCCTGGCAGCAGCCTATGCCGCTAGACTCCTTAAACTTCCTGCCACCATTGTTATTCCTACAACTACTCCTGCATTTGTGGCAGAAATACTCAGAGACCAGGTAGCACTAAAATTATTCTCTACACCCCCACCCACCCCAACTTTCAACCCGATGCACCCAAAGAAATAAAAAATAGTCAACAAAATTATAAAGAATCCAGATCTAGTTGATAATAAATGAATTATTACATGTATTTTATCATCTGTCACTTTGTCTGTCAGTCACCATGATGTTTATGTCTGTTACAGTTCATATGTGTAATCAGGAATTTTATGTTATTTCCTAACCTGTTCAGTAAATAAACGCATTTACTGGCTGTTGTAGGAAAAACATATGTAATCACTGAAAGGGTTAGGAATTGCATGCATTTACTGAAAATTTTAGAGAGTTTTACGTGTTTTTACTGATACTATGTTGTATTACTAACATCCTTCTAAAAACAACATGATTCATATATAAAAGTATTTAAACCATATCTGTTTTACAATGTTTTACAATCTGTTCATATACAGTATCTTTTTAGGCTTTATTACTGTATTTGTATTTTTATGATTTTCTTTTCTTAGTTTGATATGGAAAAAATATATAATACTTTCTCATAACATGTCTATAGGATGCAACCGTTGAAATCCATGGCAGTGTTTGGGATGAGGCTAATCAGTTTGCTCTTAAAATTGCACAAGATCCAGGTATTTCTTCTTTGTTTTCTGTTATGTTAAAATAATTTTTAATAAATGAAACCAGCATTAGAATGTTTTCTTTAAAAGTCATCTTGCCAAAAAAAAATCCTGAATAATTTTTTTTCTAGATTGTTTGTATATCAATCCATTTGATCACCCAGATGTTTGGTGAGTGGTTTTTTTTCTAAATCAAATAATTCTGCACTTTGGGGTCTTACGTGAAGCAAATGGTATGGAAACTAGAAACGATCTCGTTGCGAGCAACGAGAGGTCTTCCGTCTGATTCTGGAAAAAAACTCGTAAAGTCGAGCTGAGAATTGATTAAACATTTTGGTCACAAATTGAATCCAGGTCGCCAGCGTGAAAATCCAATTCGCTTTTTTCCCCTTTTATCCCCAACGCGCTAACCATTACGCTATTGGGATTACTGCTCTTAATGTACTTGTGTATACTTTTGCTACAGTACACCTGTCTAAGAATTATAAAAGACGGGCCTTTATTCATAATTTCGCGCCAAACGCCACGTCAAATCTTCGCGCCTTTTCTTTGGACTGATCTATTAAAAAGGTGTGATAGCTTCAATGAAATTAAGAAAAAAAGAACGTTCTCATAGCCTACATTTCGAGGTTTAGAAAATATATTTAACACATTGTACACATTCTGTAGAAAAGTAACACAAAAGCAGTGTAATGACTATAATTTAATTTTTTTTTAATTTTCCGTCTCAGAAGTGAACTATGCCGATTAGTTACACTTTCATAAAAAGGTTGAAATGTTTCGCCGAAAAACATGCCTGCCTCGCTCTACGACAGTCAAGGAATCAGATACCATTTATGTTCAATAACTTGATTCAGATCTTTGAGAAAAGAATGTTAATATAAACTCCATTAGACGATCTTATTAAAATGGTTTTCTTATTTTTGTCTTTTCTATTCGTTTAATATCACACAAGTGTGCATGGGAAAAACAGTGGTTATACGTTTTATACTTACTATATACATGCATCGATATTGTTTCTTGAAAAACTATAACTTATAACTATGATTTAAGATCTGTTTTTCCGTCTTGCAAAACAAATGATAATAGGTATCTCTCATTTGCACATTTAGTCTTTTCTTTTTCTACTTTGAGAACCAACCAAAACCAGTTACAGAAGACGTTTGAGAAGACCCTGGAATAAATCTTTAGTTTGACACAGAATTGTAACGTAATTACTACGTGATCTATTAACGCGCAAACCATTAAGCTACTGCTCTAAATATACTTGTGTATACATTTGCAACAGTACACCTGTCTAAGAATTATAATAGGCGGGCCACTATTGATAATTTCGTGCCAAACACCACGAGTAAATATTCGCGTCTTTTCTTTGGACTGATCTATTAAATAGGTGTGATAGCTTCAATGAAATTAAATAAATAAAGCGTTCTTATCGCCTTTATTTTATTTCGACGTTAAGAAGGTATATTTAACACATTGTACATATTACATATCGTATCTAGCCCAGTTAAACGGAAATTAAGTTTTAAGATTGACACGTAATTACAACGTACTACTACGTGAAAGTCCAAGTAGTTTTCTACATTTCATGTATCCTTATGTAAGAATGGTTTAATCAAACGCTCAGCTGCCTCCACAAACCCCTACTCGCGAAATGGCGGAGTTGACAGAGGCAGACGCCATCTTGGACCCGCTTCAGATTTTCAAATATTAATATCTAGAGTTCAGATTAACCAATATTCAAACAACTTATACAGTAAACATCAATCAAAGGGTGTCTATTATCATTCCAAAAATAAATAAAAAATATTTAAAAACAAAAAAGTTAGAAAATCCGATTTTTTCATTTCGCTTCTCCTAACGACAGGAAGTACTTACGACGAACGAAAGGTCGCGTCCTGGATGGTAAATATCACGATCTATAATCCCTGAAAGTTTCATGTTGATATCTTTTACCGTTTTTGAGTTTAATCGTGGACAAAATGTCATTTTTTTTTCAGAAAATGTCCCGTAACTTGGCACCAGAAGCGAATTTTCAAAAAATCTCTCGGAAAAAATAACTTCAGATAATAACACATAACTTCTGTAAATTTCATGAAAATTCACCCAGTAGTCTTCGAGAAATCGCGTGCACAAAATTTGGTGTACGGAAAAATAATAATAATAATAACTAGATACGATCTCGTTGCGAGCAACGAGAGGTCTTCCGTCCGATTCCGTTAAAAAAAAAACGTAAAATCGAGATGAAAAAGTAAAAAAAAAATTATTCCACTTAAGGGGGATTGAATCCAAGTCGCCAACATGAAAATCGAACGCGCTAAATATTACGCTATTGGGACCTCTGCTGTAAATCTTCTTGTATATACCTCTGTATAACAGTGCTTTTGTTTTAGAATTATAAAAGGCTAGTCACTATTCATAATTTCTCGCAAACGCCACGAGTTAATCTTGGCGCATTTTCTTTGAAATGTTCTATTTAATACGTGTGATAGCCTCAATGAAATAAAAAACCGTTCATGTAGCCTAAAATTCGACGATTAGAAAGTATATTTAACACATTTTACAAATTCCATATAGTATGTAAGCAAGAGGTTTAAGAAGAACGTAGTTTGACACAGAATTGCAACGTAACTATGACGTGAAAAATCAGAGTATTCCTTTACATTTCATTTGTCCCTATGTAACTTTCGTTCAAGCAAACATTCGGCTGCCTCCGTAAACCCCTATTGCGAAATGTCGGAGTTGACAGAGACAGCCGCCATTTTGGACTCGCCTCAGATTTTTAATTGTTAATATCTAGAGTTTGGATTTTTCAATATTCAAACAAATCATACAGTAAGCATTATAAGAAGGGTCTCTATTACCATTCCAAAAATAAATGAAAAATATTGAAAAACAAAAAAGTTAGAAAATACGGACTTTTTAATTTCGCTTCCGGCAGCAACCGGAAGTACCGACGACACACGAAAAGGTGATTCGTCATATCTAAAAGTCATCATCTTTCATCTCTAACAAGTCTCCAGTAAATATGTTAAACCATTTTCGAAAAAAAGGGGGGACAAAATTGCATTTTAAAATCAGAAAAGTGTCAATAACTTGGAACCAAAGGTGAGTATTCCAAATTTTCCTATCCATGCCACAACTTCATCTAATGACGCATAATTCCTGAAAGTTTCATTGAAAACCACTGAATAGTTTTCGAGAAATCGCGTGCACAAAATTTTGGGGAAAAAAATAAGAATAATAATAATAATAATAATAATAATAATAAGAAACAGTAGAATCACTAGAAGGTCTTCCGTGAAGACGGAAGACCTTAATAATAATAATAATAAGAAACAGTAGAATCACTATAAGGTCTTCCGTGAAGACGGAAGACCTTAAAAACATTGCTTCGAACGATGCATGCTGTTTGTTTCTGTATTTTTTCCTCTCCTTTGGTCAAGGACCAGGAGAACTATGCTACAGTAAAGATCCATCATCCACCAATCTGATTTTCTGTTTGCCCAAAAGTTGTTTTTAAAAATCCAACTCCTCCCTCATAGTTGTTCTATTCTCTATAAAATTATGTACACAAGTAGATCCCATCAGTTTTAATTTGTCATTTTTTGATTAGTGAAACAGTGTTGTTGTTATACAAAAGACTTTCTCCTACAGGATATTTTACTGTAAAATCACATATTTTCAAAGTCAATTTTTCGTGGTTTGAGGAAAATTTATTGGTTTAAAAGGATTTGATTTCGTTGTTTAAGAATTATTTAGTAGTAATATCTGTGAAAAATTGCATTTTGTGGTGGACGTAAATCCGTGGGTCTCTTTATTTCATGAAAACAGCGAAAATTAACCCCCACGAAAATTAGTGAATTCACAGAATTTAACATTAATGAAGAAAGGATACATAAATAGACTAAATCAAGGCTCATAACTCTTTTTATAGCTTTGAATTTGTCACAAAAATATACGAGGGCTGTTCAGTAAATAATGTCCTGAACTGTATGACATACAATACAGATATCATATGACATTAAACTTGACTTTTTCGCATTATTGAATCTTTAAATAATTTATCACAATTAATGTGACCACTTTTCATCACATAGTTTCACTGTGAGAAGCTGGAAAACAAGGGCTATTCGAGACACTTCATGTAAAATAAATGGTAAAGAATCAGTAAACTAGAGTGAAATTAAACGCTTCATTAAAGCTGCTGTTAACTTGTTAAGAATCCCAACGAAATAGTTACTGAAATATGTAACATTTACGGCTACCAATGTCTGTTTTATAGACAAATGAGCAGGTGGATTTAAATGATGAAAAATTATAAAATGGGCATGAAAAATGGGTACCTTCTTTGGCAACAGAATTTATAACAACTCATATACTGTTTGCCAATTTTCGACAAATAATCACTGATGATGTATGATTGACTTTAAGACACATAACAAATTTGATAGACATCATTTCGGGAGTAGTTCACACTGTTTTAAAGAAATGTTTTGCAGTAAAAAAAGCTTAGTACTCAAAGGTCACCCTATGTTCTGAAAAATGAGTGAAAATGACAGCGTATAAGAATATCTAAACAATTATTTTAAAAATGAAAATGTGTAGTTATCCAATTTTGTTTGAAATTCAAAGAGATAATGAAACTTGAATCTATTGCTTAAAACCCTCGAAAAAAATTTACAATAAGATGTACTTGACAAAAACAGCAAAGGTTTGAGAAGAGCAAAGAATTGCAAGAGCAAACAGACAGTTTTATGTGCAATTATCTTAAATATTAGTGGTCTTGTTGTTAAAAATCGTATTCGGGGAGGCAGTTTAATTTCTGGAAGAGTCTAGAGAGCAATTTTTTTGCACGAAAATCAAAAGGTTAGTGAGAGGAAGGAACCAGAATCAGGAATCCACTACATTAAAATAAATTCAACTTAAACTTCAAATATATCAACATTTGTCTCCAAAAATAGCATAATTTGAAACAAAAAGTACCAGTAGCTGAGTTCATTACTAACGATATCTTGGTAACTTTACTGCCAGATCATGTGGAATATCTTAGAAATTATTTTTATCAGCAATGTCAGTTGATATCAGCGAGATAACAAACCAGCTACTTCAAATTATCAACATTTGTCTCCAAAAATAGCATAATTTTACACAAAAGGTACCAGTAGCTTAGTTCATTACTAACGATATCTTGGTAACTTTACTGCCAGATCATGTGGAATATCTTAGAGATTATATTTATCAGCAATATCAGTTGATATCAGCGAGATAACAAACCAGCTACTTTAAATATATCAACATTTGTCTCCAAAAATAGCATAATTTGAAACAAAAGGTAACAGTAGCTGAGTTCATTACTAACCATATCTTGGTAACTTTACTGCCAGATCATGTGGATCGTTTTAGAGATTATTTTTATCAGCAACATCATTTGATATCAGCGAGGTAAAAAAACCAGCTACTTCAAAAATATCAACATTTGTCTCCCAAAGTAGCATAAATTTACACAAAAGGTACCAGTAGCTGAGTTCATTACTAATGATATCTTGGTAACTTTACTGCTAGATCAAGTGGAATATCCTAGAGATTATTTTTATCAACAATATCAGTTGATATCAGCGAGGTAACAAACCAGCTACTTCAAAAACATCAACATTTGTCTCCAAAAAATAGCATGATTTGAAACAAAAGGTACCAGTAGCTGAGTTTATTACTAATGATATCTTGGTAACTTTACTTCCAGATCATGTGGAATATCTTAGAGATTATTTTTACCAGCAATATCAGTTGATATCAGCGAGGTAACAAACCAGCTACTTTAAAAATATCAACGTTTGTCTCCCAAATTGCATAATTCTAGACAAAAGGTACTAGTAGCTGAGTTTATTACTACCGATATCTTGGTAACTTCAGTGCCAGATTATGTTGAAATTCTTAGAGATTGTTTTTTTTCAACACTATCAGTGGATATCAGCAATGTAAAATTCCAGCTACTTCAAGAATATCAACATTTGTATCCCAAGTTTGCATAATTTTACACAAAAAATACTAGACGGTTATTTTTATAAGGTTCAAGTCATTTACTAGTAGCCAGTTACTAGTAGCCAACTTTACATACTTGTCGTAGCCAGCTACTAGTAGCCAGTTACTAGAAGCCAACTTTACATACTTCTCGTAGCCAGCTACTAGTAGCCAGTTACTAGTAGCTAAATTTACTTACTTCTCGTAGCCAGCTACTAGTAGCTAACTTTACCACTTGCCGTAGCCGGCTACTAGTAGCCAGTTACTAGTAGCTAACTTTACATATCTGAAGAGTAAAGGAGTTTTGGGGATAAACAGAAAGTGAATTTTTTCACACTAACAACATTTGTCAGATCTTTCGCCTTTTGACATGTTTCATTTTCCAAACTTGAAAAAAAACACCTTTCAGAACGAAGAAACTAGTCCAGGAAATCATAAGATTCTGCTATTTTCCAGTATACCAAGGGTCATACCCAAAAATGAGTTCTAAAAACAATCAGAAGTTGGATAAATAATTTTATCGACATGGGTTTTAATTGAAAGAGAATATTAAGTTAACTTTTAAAGACTAAATCATTGAAAAGCGTCTTTTGCTTCTTTCTGAGCACCGAGGACATTATTCATTGAACAGCCCTCGTACATGAAAATCTTTCAAAATGCTACTACTTTTTTTTTGATTTCAAAGAAATTTAAAAAAAAAAAGTTGTAAATATAAGGATGTATAATTCTGTAAATAGAAAGAGAAAAGAAAGAATTTTTAAAAAATTTCCATTTCGAAGAAAACCAATAGAGCTACATTCTCATCAGACACTGCTGTTTTCTGTACATGTTAACGTATAGAAACTATCATGATTTGCATTTTTAAATGAATAAATTTGATGTGGAGCATCATTCATTGGATAATTTTTAGACTTGAGGTATCCGACCCATAATAGCTTCAGATTCAATGAATCTGATATATGTTGGCTGAATACTCAGTACAAGTATATTTAGACATAATCTGTAAGTTTAGCATCATTATGTAAGAGTGGAATGTGTCCTATTTTTAGACCTTGACCTGTCCTTGAAAAGTTATGCCAATTTGCTTTTAAACAATAAAAAGCAATTCTAAAAACTAAAAAGGTCTACCTGGTAAAAAATTAGTTTTTGATATTTTTTTATTCTTACTAATAATATACATCTTTCTACATCTGTACCAAAGCATTTATTAGCATTCTTAGTATTTAAATTTTTATTTAAGAAAATTTACTCGTTTCCATAGACCTCAATGCATTCTTCATTAATTAATTACTGCTCATGTAATTATATTTTAAATCATTTCTCCTGGTAAATCCTTTTGTACTCTAAAATGCCGTGAATTATTTTATTTCAGAGTATTTAATACAGGATGACTATAAAAGGTTAGAAAATCATGTCCTTATATGGGTTGGATATCTTAAAACATAAACATAGTATAATTCAAAAAAGGGAAAAAAGTGGAAAATTGTCCAAACACCAAAATTCTGTTTGTGTAAAACTGTTGGAGTTGAGGGTATAAGTTTCAAATATATATCATACCATACCAACTGAATATTTGTTCCAGCTATAAGATAACAGGTTTAACAACTTGATTATTATATCATAGGGAGGGAAATGAGTCACTGGTTGTAGAGGCTAAAGAGCAGCTGCCTTCCCCTCCTGATGTAGTGGTGGCCTCAGTCGGAGGTGGGGGGTTACTCTGTGGAGTCATACAGGGTATGGAGAAGGTAGGCTGGGGTCACATCCCAGTGGTTTCTATGGAGACTGTAGGAGCAGATTGTCTGAATGTGTCCTTGAGAGAGAACAAGATCACCACCATTCCTGCTATCACAAGGTTTCATTCTTTCTGATTCATTTAAGATGTAATTACTTTCTTCATAGACAGGGGATAATGCAATATTGTGAAGCTGAATTTTTTAATAATGCTTTACAATTTTACAGTGTTGCCAAATGCCTTGGTGCTCTCACGCCTTGTACTCGAATATTTGATCTGTGTAAAAAGTACTCAGTGATATCCCAGCTCTGTACAGACAAACAGGCTATTGATGCATGTCTGAGGTTTGCAGGTAAAATACTTTGTTTTGTAAGGTTCTTATGCTCATACATTTCTTCTAGGACAGAGAAGGGATTTTTGAAAACATAAGAGGTGTACAACAATAATAGATACAATATTCTTTATGCCATATAGTCGCCCGCGTGGCGCATTGGTTAGAGCGTCTGCTCTAGAGTCGCGAAGTACGGAGTCAATCCTTACGTCGCGGATTCGAATCACACTGTGGGACGTGGAGACCCGTCCTTCGGATGAGACCGTATAAACCGAAATCCCGTGTCGCAGTAGTTGCAGGTAGGAAAAAGATCCCTCCCTGCTAAATGACCTTAAGTGCCGAGTATAGGACAAAATCTGCAGCTCCCCACCGGCGAGTGGTGGCGTCGCCATATGAGTGAAATATTCTCGACAGGGACGTTAAACAATATATCAATCAATTAAATATGCTATATATTTACTTCCACATTCACATGACTACTGTCTTCTTATTATGTTAAAATATTACAGATGATCATCGACAGTTAATACAGCCTGCTTGTGGTGCAAGTCTAGCATCTGTATACAGTGGCATTCTGAACGACCTTCAAACTCAGGGAAAACTGGGTCAGATTAAATCTGCCTTGATTGTTGTATGTGGTGGAAGTGGAGTTACACTCGATGCTCTCAATAAGTGGAAAAAAGAATTTGATCTCTGATTGTTCAAAATTTGTTCCATTTAGTATTAAGGGACTCCGACCCTCAGCCAGGAAGGACAACTCTTTAATTTATAATTCAATTCAAAAAGTCTTTAAATGAAGCTTGAACATTAAATCTTTTCATGCAACAATTTTCATTTTATGCCTCTCAATGTGCTTCAAGGTTCTTTGAACTTCTCAGAAAGGTCTAAATAAAAGTAGAAATTTTTATCCTGTAAAAGCATTTTTAGATATCAATGTTTATTAAAATGATATGAAATTAGAAGTGATTTATGGAGTTTTGCAAAGAACCTTGAAGCACATTGAGAGGCATATAATGAAAATTGTTTCATGAAAATATTTAATTTTCAAGCTTCATTTAAAGACTTTTTGAATTAAATTATAAATTAAAGAGTTGTCCTTCCTGGCTGAGGGTCGGAGTCCCTTAAAACATTCATATAAAGCTTGCTTCAAATCTTTTTATATTCCAGTTTTGTTTTTACGTGAAGGTTGTATCGTTTATGTTCTGAGGGCAGCTTGCTTTTATTGTTATGTTTATTTTTTAGTTGGAATTTTTATGCTTAAGTATTGAGGAATAACTGTCTGATTTTTTTAATTTCTTTATGTGATCAATCAAGTGGCTTGCATGATAATTCATGCATAAATTATCACGCAAGCCAATTGATTGATCACTGTCATGAAATAAAAAAAAAATCTGACAGTTATTCCTTATATTTACATGGTCTTGATGCCAAAAAGTACGTGCTATAAGCCCCGCTTCTAGCTGTCTCTATTTGTCCCGCCCAGCACGTGATTTTTTTTATCGATAAACCAATGCATTTATGTAGAAATAAAATGCGTTTTCTATTTGTAATTTTATCTTGGACAAAAACATTGGAAATGTAAATATTTTCGAATAAACTTTATAAAGAATGTAAATCTTATTTGTTCATTTGTATGGCAGTCGAAAGTTTTTTTTAATATAAGCTATACATATATTAAAACATTGTGTAAAAAACGTTAGATGAATTATTGGGTGAAATCTACACAAAGGAACAATTCTGAAAAAAATATAACCAACAGACATTCTTCTGGAATCCACAGGTCCCTGTGACTGACATTCAACTACCCCCTTGAGCACGGTGTATGTGTTACATACTGAGTTTTGTCATGGGGTATACAATTCGCACATTGATTAAAGAAATGAAAAGAAATTTCTGTTATATATTTTACAGTAAATATATGAAATCAGGAATTTCATGTACTTAGCATTTCCTAAACCATTCAGTAAATACATGTATTTACTGTTTTAGGAAATACATGCAATTGCTGAATAGCTAGAAAATTCATGTATTGACTGTAAATTTTAAACAATTTTACACCAGACAAAATTGCTAACGCACCACCTTAGAGAAATAAAATTTTACTTCTAAAAATCTGTTTATGATGTATTTTATATATAAATATGTTTCTTTAATAAAAAAAAGAAAAGAAAGAAGGCATGTGCGATATCAACATCAAGTTAAATACTTAAACAAAATTATGAATAAATTTACGAACTAAATTGTAATAATTTCATATACCTATTAAAAAATGTCCGCATCAAGTTAAAATTTTTGTTACAATTTGAAATTCAATTTTATTTCTTGTTTACAAAATGCAGTCAACAAAAATTACTTCCGTGTTTACAATACCGCGACTTTGACGTCGTTTTCTGAGCATTGTGACGTCAAAAGATAAGGGCCCTTTTCTCATGACGGCAGTCATATAAATTAAATGATGTATATATGTATAGCACAGACACCAAAGAGTGACTTAACAATAAACTCCATATCATTGTAAGGGATACACTAAAATGAAAGAAAAAAAGGCTTAAAAAAAGAGCCATACCTGAAGAAAACGGAACTTGTCTTTCAAAGAATTACCCAAAGATTAAAAATTACTTGATAGAGTTGGAATTATTTCTATTTTATTTAAAAGCATCCAAAATAGTTGTAAGTCAAGCCTGTACAAGTTGTACTACATAGTTTAAATTTCTACATATAAGGTCTTACATTAGCTATAGATCTGCAACTCAGTGGTCTGGAAAATTATTTTTATTTTCCTTCCCATTAAAGGGATTGTCTCTGTACTGTTTGTGTTTGGTCACCATGAAGACCTACAGAGGTTAACTACAAAATCCATGGTATTAGAGAGGTTTAGTTACAGGTGACGTAACAACGTGTACGCGTAACATTGACGTACACGTTCTATTTGACGTCAACGTCAATAACATGATTTAGTTATACGTACACGTGTACGTATGCAAATTACGTAGTTGAACAGTAAATTATTTGAACGGCATTGTATTTACTATTTTTAATTTAGACAAATCAATGTGATGAAATGGAATTTATACTTACTCTAGTCATAGATATCATAAACTATGAAAAATGATTATATGTATTGCCATCTCAATGCAGTGAAGCGCTCTAAATATTTTGTCACATAGTATCTCTACAGGATATTAAGCTTTTAATTCTGCATTTTAAAGATGGAAGCAATCATAAAAATTATTTAATTGACGATAAAAAATGACCACATTTTGCACTTTGTGGAGGATGGGGGGGGGGGGGGGGGTTCCAAAAGAAAACATTTTGAAAACTATAAAATGTGAAGGCTCAAACATTATAACGTCTTGAAAGGAGGCATGGAATAAAATTTAATACACCAATACATCGTTAAATCCAAAATCAGACTCCCCCCCCCCTTTTTTTTAAATACACGTCTGCTCTAGATCTTTACAAGTGATAGTACAAAAGAAAAAAAATAGTTAATGAAATACAATCTCAACAAGCACTTGACGTTACACATAGGCGTACTACCTATAACTTATTACGCGAGGGGTTACATTTTTGTTATGTCACTAGGGCCTGTGGATGTTATATAATAGTTCTAAAATATTTTATTATAAAAAAAAAAATAAAGAATATAGAGGTGTTAAAATAGGTTTTAATATAAAACAAGAGGCCCATGGGCCACATCGCTCACTTGAGAAGCTTTGACCATTCTGTTCTTTACCAGATTTCACCCTTGTTATACATAATGCATCCCCACCCTACCCCACTGATCATAATTTAGACATTTTGAAATCTACACTACCCCATGATCCTTCCATGGGCACATATGTTTCAGCTTTTTTAGGTTCCTGAAAGAAGATTTTCAAAGATTTTTCCTATATATTTCTATGTTAAACTTTGATTCCCTATAATGGCCCCGCCCTTCCCCCGGTGGTCATGATTCCTACAACTTAGAATTTACACTACCCCAGAATGCTTCCACATAGGCTTCACTTTTTCTGGCCCAGTGGTTCTTGAGAAGAAGATTTTCAAAGATTTTTCCTATATATTTCTATATAAAACTTTGATTCCCCATTGTGGCCCCACTCATCCCCCGGGGATCATTATTTGAACAATTTAGAATCTACATTATACCAGGATGCTTCCACATAAGTTTCAGCTTTTCTGGCCCAGTGGTTCTTCAGAAGAAGATTTTCAAAGATTTTTCCTATATATTTCCATGTAAAACTTTGATTCCCCATTGTGGCCCCGCCCTTCTCCCGGGGATCATGATTTGAACAATTTAGAATTTACACTATACCAGGATGCTTCCGTATAAGTTTCAGCTTTTCTGGCCCAGTGGTTCTTGAGAAGAAGATTTTCAAAGATTTTTCCTATATATTTCTATATAAAACTTTGATTCCCCATTGTGGCCCCGCCCTTCCTCCGGGGGTCATGATTTGAACAATTTAGAATCTACATTACCCCAGGATGCTTTCACATAAGTTTCAGCTTTACTGGCCCAGTGGTTCTTGAGAAGAAGATTTTTTAATGACCCCACCCTATTTTTGTCTTTTCTTGATTATCTCCCCTTGCGAGGGGATATGTCCCTTCATTTTAACAATTTAAATTTCCCTTTACCCAAGGATGCTTTGTACCAAGTTTGGTCAAAATTGGCCCAGTGGTTCTTGAGAAGAAGTCGAAAATGTGAAAAGTTTACAGACGGACAGACAGACGGACAGCTAGACAGACGGACGGACGACGGACAAAATGTGATCAGAAAAGCTCACTTGAGCCTTCGGCTCAGGTGAGCTAATAACAGAAAGGGAAAAATCACCAAGAAATCATGAATTCTTATTTGGTGTATTGGCGGGCGAGATCTTCTTCAAATGAATCCTGCGTACAAAATAAACATACTGTTTGGTATCAGTTTGAGTTTAACTTTTCATTGATAAAAATACTAATACTTTGATGGAATCATCGAGTCATCATTCATTAAAGATTTTAGATAGACTAGTGTTCTTGTTTTAATACACAAAAATCAATCAACTGCATCAAAAAGTAAAGAATTTAATCCATAACTTTACCCGTTTACGTCGTACGTGTAGAGAGTGTATTACACGTTCTTAACTTGTAGCTACACGTTGGATTTAACGTCATGACGTCAAGAACACAACAATTGATGACGTCACCCGTACAAGTTCGTCGCAAAACGTGTAACTAAACCTCTCTATTGTTACCATTGCTTTTCTGGTTTTGAAGTAAAGATTCGAAATAACACTATCAAACAATAGTCAGAATTGACAGGTAGTCGAGTCTTTACTATTTTCCAATACGATATTTTGGAACATATACGTACTAGTATGTTAATTGATCAGTGTCAATTGGACAACAGTTTGTTGGAAGACCTGGCTCCGGGGCCATAAAACTGAAACGAGCTCATTCTTAATCTATTTAGTCTCACTTTTCACTATATATTTTTTGTTAAAGTAAGGCAGATATTAAATTTGAGCTCATCTCAGTTTTATTCCCCCGATGCCAGGTCTCTTAAGACTACATAAAAGTTGTAAATGTGGAACTCCAGTATTTTTTCAATATCAACTACAGTTGGTACTTGTATATGGAATCATTTAAAGAAAGTAATTTTGTTGATAACTAATCACATTTGAAAGATACAGAGATTTCCGAGTGCTATCTTTAGGAGACCTAACCTTAATCTTAATTCTCTCCGTGCCAGGAGGCACACAAGGCTTGAGCATCTTCCTTCCACGGGGGCCTGTCTGATCTGCTGCACAGCATTCCGTGTTCCAAGAGTTCCAGCTTGCATTATTTCGCTCTACCTCTACCACTCACCACTAGAATGGCCTCGCTTCCTTCTCCCCTCATGTGTCCATCGGAAAGCCCAACACAGTCATTTGTTGGATCCTTTTTAAGCACTTGGTCGATTCAATTCCACTTGCCCCTCCTCACCTCGCCACTGATGCTTTATTTTTCTTACATCTCCAGAATTGTCTTGGACGGAAGATAGGCCATTGCAGATGGCATTAGAGCTTTGTCGTTTTCAAAGTCACGGTCTTCAAGCATAATGGTGAAGTCACATATGAATCCTGTTCTCTTTTCTCTTACAGTCTGTTGCATAACCCAGTATATAACTAGGAGGAACATGAAACGTGACAAACATCACACCATCTTTGTTTGACACCAGTCATCACAGGAAAATGATCTGTGGTCTCGTTGTCATCAAACACAAAACACTGAAAATCGTCATACAGGGCTTTGACAATTTAGATCAGTTTTCTGGGTATTCCATTTTTCTTAATGGTGACCAAAAGACTGCCTCTGTGCATTGAGTCAAAAGCTTTCTTAAAGTTCACAAAATGGATGTACACGTTAGCATTCAACTCGTTTAATTGCTCCATGATGTTCCTGAGGATAAGATTGTGGTCAACTCCAGTCTGTATTCTGTTAGGGAGGAATTTGGTTAATGCTTTGCTGACTAGTTGCAGCAATGCCACTCCTCCAGTCGTTGCAGTCCTGTAAGTTGTCTTTCTTGGAAATTTGCAGATCAGTCCTTTGCTCCATTCTTTGGACAAAGGTTTGCTTCAGTTCCTGGCTGGTATTGTTCAGATCTGCCTTTAGCATCCCTGCTGTTATTTCATCTACTCAACGAGTTTTCTCTTCCCAAAGCGCCTTCAGTGCAGCCCTCGTTTCCTGTGTTTTGGATGGCTCTCCTGAGATTTCTGGCTCGTCTTCTTCTTGTTCATCTTGTGGTAGTGACTCTGGAGTGTCTCTATTGAGCATTTCCTCAAAATATTCCCTCCATCTGGCTATCCTCGCTTCTTTATTTTTCATCAGTTCTCAATCTTTGCTCTTCACCGCTGCTGTTTGTCTATTACTATTTCTTGTCATCTGTTTTACTATGCTCTGCAGTTACTTCTGCACCCTTTTCGACTGCTTTCTGAGCTCGCTTGAAGCATTCTCTTCCATTCATCTTCTCTTGTCCTCTCTCGCACTTTTCTTGACTGCTTTGTCTTTCTCCCTGTAATTTTCCTTAAATCTACCCTTGACTCTGATTTTGTGCTTTTTTGTCTTGATGTCTTTTATTTCATCTATCAATCTTTCAGGTCTTTTCGCTGACCCAAGGCTTGCTTTTGCTTAAATTTTCTTGAAGCCAAGTACTTCCTCTGCTGAATTCACATATGCCATTTTATGATGTTCTTGTCATTTGTCAATATCTTCAGTCTTTCCCATGTGGTCGTCTTCTAATATCTTTCTCTCACAGTCATTTAACTTTGCTTTTATCCATTTATTTTTCAGACGCTATTTATTAAGTCTTTGTTCATTTATTTCTTATTCTTATGTGTGCTGAGGTGTAGTCTGATTCCGGTCTTCATCACGTTGTTTTGTATATGTTGTTATGCGGGAACAACGTTCCTTTGAGTACAAGTGCGTTGGTCTGGCAAAATTCAAAATTTCTTCTCCGTTCTCGTATTTGTGTCCCCAGTCTATACCCATAGTTCTTTCAAATCTGTTATTGTCACTTTCCTACTTTGGCATTGAGGTCTTCCATGACAATGATGATGTCGTCCTTGTTACATCTCCATCAACGTCGTCTCTGTAGCTCCATATAGAATTGGTCCTGCTCATCATCTTCCTTTTCATTGTATGGGGCATTAGCTTTGATCACTGGCACTCTTCCGTATCTTATATGGATTCTATTTTGCTATTCTTTTTCTCTTGTTGATGGGTATCCATTTCATGAGTGATTTCATTGCCTGCTGGTTGATCATTTATGGAAGAAGGGGTTATTCAGGATTTCAAAAACCCTTGGGTTTAATCCATCGAGAGAAATAATTGTATATGATGAAGTGCAGAATAGTTGCACTTTTTGATGTTATTGACTTCCAAAAAATTGGTTTTCTTAAAGTTCTTATAATAATTAAACTTTTACAAAGACTATTAAGATACTGTAAGAAGCCTTATATGCTGGAACACTTTCGATTTATCGAAAATGGTAGGAAAGATGGTTCGCATCTTGCCTTAACTGTTTGTGTATTATGTGCTTCTTTGTGTGTCATTGTTGTGACAAATATGATATTTATTGAACTCTAAAGTCCTCTAAATAATACCAGTGAAATATTTTTTATAATCTTATTGCAATCCAAACTAAGAAAAGATCAATATTATTTTTTGATAATGAAATATTCTTTTATTTCTTCTCCACAACTATGGCACACTACTCATACACTGTTATTTCAAGATGAATCTGCGTGAAGCAGGGCGCCTGAAAAGGAACTAAATCCAGCTGGCATTCTTCTAGAATCTGCAGCACCTTGAAGGTGGCGGATCCAAACTCGTTCCCCCTGAGCACAGTGAATGTTGGCTATCTGGGTTCCTTCGTCATTTCCATACAATGTTGCGTGCAGGTGCGCTATCTGTTGCCCATTGTGCATCAATTCCGCGTCCAAATTTTTATCAGTTCCACCGTCTGACACGATTGTAGAAGCAAACTGATAGAAACCGCTGACAGGACAGACAAATATCCCCGTGTTTCCGTCGTATCCTTGTCCGGCGTTTGTGACGACGCTTTCAAAGACGATTGTTTCTCGATCATTCAGTGTTGTGTACGGCTTCCCTAGTCTGGCGTAGAATGTGACGTACTGATGATGAACTGAGGTCGGTCCCAGCAGAAGGCGTTCTAAGATAGAAACGTAGAGAATCCATACAAAACAAAAAAGGCGTCGTCAGATTAGCCATGTATTTTGAGTGAACTTTAGTTTCTTACATGTAATAGATACAAAAAGATTTCATAAAGTGATTGGATATATGTTAATGTACACGTTTTTGATTATATTTTTGAGTAAAATTGAATTGGTATAATTATTAATCTGAATTCAACATTCATTCATAACACGTTTTTGTTAGAGCTTATTGCACATAAATATGTATTATGGAGCGATTTTTAAGATATAGTATATTCACTTTCTTTATTCTGTGCTCCAATGGCTTCTAGCAAAGCCGTGTTTTGAAGTTTGAGAAGGTTTACATCATCTCGTAGTTCTCTTAAATCTGCTTCTGTTTGAGCTGCAATTTTAAACAGTTATATTAATGCAAAATATATTCAATTATAATCGAACATTTTAGCAATATTCTATTATTGGTATCGCATTCTTGTCAGTCCATTTCTTCAAATGCATTCATAAGAGTTTAATACGTAAGTGGTTCACTTACAAAGACGTGCCTCCAGATATTTCTCATGTTCTGTATTTGCGAAAGATCCAGAGAAACACAATATGGAAATCGAAATCATCAAGGGAACCATATTTGTACATAATCTATACAAGGTAGAACTCTGTACACATAGGTAACCTCTTATCGTTCACTTTGATAAAAATCACAAATGACTGGAAGTGAGTTTGTTTAACCCTTACTATATATGTTCATTTACTTAACAACTTAACAAAGACTTTTTAATTAATTTATTTTGTCCTATCTAAATGCTAAGAATGGTTCAATTTGAAAAAAGGGGAAAAAACAACAAATGAACTTTGGTATCTCGTACACTTTGGATTTTAAGATCAAGACGATAGGTTTATGGTCTGTTTTCATAGATCATGTATATATCATATTATTATAATATTCCATACCGACGACTTTTATCCTATGAGTTAATCTGATGCAATTTAATATATTATTCTAAATATATGTAATATGTTAGACCGTGATGGATGTATAATTTGCATGTTTTTATTTACTTATTTTTTCTACATTTTCATTTTTGAATGTGACCAGTGCCATATGTTGATAATGAATAAAATAAACTCAGTATTTACACCCTTCTTTAAGAGTATATTAATATTAATACTTTCTCCATGTAAAATTTTGGAAAATACTTCCTTGATTGAAAAAAAAGAATAGCCACTATGCCGTAACAGCGACTGCACAGCCACTGCCGTGACCAGGATTCGAACCTGGGTTGTCGCGGCCACAACGCGAAGTACTAACCACTATACGATCACGGCTATATTAGTAGCTGTTTAAATTTCAGACGGTAAAGGATCGGTGCCTTGTTCCAGATTGATTATCAGAAAGGGAAATATACTTACTTACCTACTTGATATATATAGCATTTATATATTACATATAAGTCAATATCTCTGCCGCGGTGAGCGAGCTGTTTTTCTTCAATCAGACTTAAAATCTGGAAAATTGATAATTATATAGTACCAAAACTTTTAATTACAAACCCTTTTCCATTTTTGAAAAACTTCAATGGAGTTTGAATTTATAAATTTTTGCCATTTTGTCAATTTCATTGTCTTTGCAGACTTAGATCAGGCTTTTATATTTTGTTTGTTGTTTTATATCAATTCAGTTCAGGGATCAAGACATATTGTCCCAGATATCCCCAGTGCTGGTCAATTTCAAATGATCTTAATTATTCACAAATATCAAGCCCATTGAATCCCATTAATCAATAACTAAACAAACCCACTTTAATATTTCAACTCTCCTTGGAGCTAAACGAACCTTGAAATTCAACTTTTGAGGATAGAATAGTTTTCAAAATAAGATGCACCATTTCAGCAAATGATTTTACGCCAGTTACTTTTTCTTACTAAGAAAGAGGTGATCAAAACTTGCATTTCTCATTTACTTGCATCAAGTGCAAAATCCATTATCTGTTTATATAATAGGATAAAGTCATTTTATTGACAATAAAACTTGCAAAATGTTGCCTTCAAACGAAAATGAACTTACCTTTGTTTCATCAATTTTTTTCAATAGCATGCGTCAATTTAAAAACTGTTTATACGTAGAGCATGTTTTTGTTGTTCGAATCAACAGAGAGACATAACCCCCAATCATAAAAGATCTCAATATTTCATTCTATAGATCAATTACATGTAATCTTTTATTGAATTACCGAAATCTTATGTGAATCAAAATAATAAATCAGATTGGGTTTCTTTTCTCACTGGTTTAGACTTCCTACGTCCATTGCTACTGTCTTTGTCTACAAAAATCAACATGCAATACAGTATTTGTCTTTTTGTTTGTTTGTTTTTTGTTTTTTTGTTTTGATATGTGTTAGTTTTTAACACTCTCAATTCATTTTCAAAGAT